TACTCACATTTCTCGGCCCACTCACTTCATCGGTTTGGTTGCTTCTCCTTGTCGCCTATCTTTTCACCGCGTTTTCCTTGTGGATCTTGGCAAAGTCGGTAACAACAATTGTATTGTATTCAATTTGAATGTCTTTTTTCCTTTTTCTAAACCGCCACCACTCAATTTGGACACTTTCTTTCAAAACAAAACAAAACAATTTTAGTTTTCTATTTTATTGTTAAAGTAAAAGAGCTATTTCAAGCTTATCAAAGCAATTAGAAGCTTATCAAAGCTATTTCAAGCTTATCAAAGCAATTAGAAGCTTATCAAAGCTATTACAAGCTTATCAAAGCTATTAGAAGCTTATCAAAGCTATTTAAAGCTTATCAAAGCAATTTAAAGCTTATCAAAGCAATTTGAAGCTTATTAAAGCTATTAGAAGCTTATTAAAGCTATTAGAAGCTTATCAAAGCTATTTCAAGCTTATCAAAGCTATTTCAAGCTTATCAAAGCTATTAGAAGCTTATCAAAGCTATTAGAAGCTTATTAAAGCAATTAGAAGCTTATCAAAGCTATTAGAAGCTTATCAAAGCTATTAAAAGCTTATCAAAGCTATTTCAAGCTTATCAAAGCTATTTCAAGCTTATCAAAGCTATTAGAAGCTTATCAAAGCTATTAGAAGCTTATTAAAGCTATTAGAAGCTTATCAAAGCTATTAGAAGCTTATTAAAGCTATTAGAAGCTTATCAAAGCAATTAGAAGCTTATTAAAGAAGCTTATTTAACTGCATAATTCTGTAGAATTTGAAAACGATTCGTTCAACGATTTTCTTTAAAATAGCAATTGAAAGATTTTATTTAAAAATGCTTTACCGATTTGTGGCAAGCTTTAAGCCTCATAAGCCACTTCTCTCATAAGCCATTTCCCATTTTAAACCATTTCAAAGGTCCATTACAAAGGTCCATTTCAAAAGTCCATTACATTTTGCGGCTTCTTTATCACTTCAAAATGCAGGAATCAGCGTCGCGGTCGCAATCTTTGTGAAGCATTCGGAGAAAACGTTTTGAGTGAAAGGACTTGCCAGGAATGGTTTCGTTTTCGTGACGGGGATCAGAGGTTGGAAGATGAGGCTCGTCCCGTTGATGGGAAGATGAGCCTCGTCCTGTTGCTTGGAAGATGAGGCTCGTCCCGTTGATGGGAAGATGAGGCTCGTCCTGTTGCTTGGAAGATGAGCCTCGTCCCGTGGTCCTCGATAATGCGGAGTTGCTGGAGATTGTCGGATCCAACTCAAACTTTGCCCGAATTCGCCGATCTGCGATCCGAGAGCCGACTTTAAATGCGATCCGAGCACAATTTCTCGACACATTTCGCTTATTGGGAAAAGGAATCGTTGTGGCCAATGGGATGGGCCAATCGGTGAATCGGATGAGCCAATGGGTCAATGGGATGGGCCGATGGAATGGGCCGATGGAATGGGTCATGGGATGGGCCGATGGAATGGGTCATGGGATGGGCCAACTCGATGGGTCAATGGGATGAGCCAATGGGATGAGCCAATGGGATGGGTCAATGGGATGGGTCAATGGGATGGGTCAATGGGATGGGTCAATGGGATGGGTCAATGGGATGGGTCAATGGGATGGATCAATGGGATGGGTCAATGGGATAGGTCAATGGAATGGGTCAAAGGGATGAGCCAATGGGATGGGCTAATGGGATGGGCCAATGGGTCAATGGGATACTCCAATGGGTCAATGGAATGGGCCAATTCGAATGAAGCATCCAAATTCTAAGCCCATAAAATGGAAGAGCATAGTTGAAAATAAAATGTAATGTCTTTTCAAATAGAATTCTTATTTGATCTTTATTCTTATTCATCTAGATTCTTATTCAGTCTTCTGACTTTTCGCTTTTTCATTTTAACTTAAACCAATTAAACCAGTGAGTTTCGGTGAGTTGAAATTAAGCCTTCTAGACTTCGTTCTAGACTTCGTTCTAGACTTTTCTAACGTTCTAGACTTCTTTAACCTTCTAGACTTTCACCCAGTGAGCGTTTGACAAGAATCGCGAACAAAGCAGCGTGGCTGAGCGCAGAGAACGCTTTCTGGTTCCCGTTTTGCTCGCTGATGCAACAGGTGAGTGGCTTTGAAGATGGAAATCGTTGAAATCGTTTTTGTGTCACTAGAAACATCTCAAAATCATCTCTAAATCTAAATCTCAGTCGTCCGTCGTCCCATCCGGCGCCTCAACTCGCCTCGTTTCTCTCATTTGGTGGTTGTTCGCTCTCGTTCTCATCTCTTCCTATACGGCAAATTTGGCTGCAACAGCTACTGTCAAGTGAGTTTTTTTTTTTAAAGGATAGAAAACACTGTAAACTTCGTTCGTTCTATGTTTTCTAGAGTTCGTTCTATGCTTCTAAAAAGCGCCTAAGCTACAGTAGCTTTTTTAGAGTTTTCTGTGTTCTTTCTTTTGATTCAGTTTGGTTGCCACTGCTTTTTTTGCTTTTAAAGTTTTGATTCCGCATCGAATTTCGATAAAACAGCGATCTCATCTATAGGACGCAAAGCGGAAAGCAAGAAAAGCACTGGCAGCTTAAGGGATAGTGTGCTCGACCCCGGAACTGAAGCCGATCTTTGCTCTCGGGTTCAATTCTCCTTGCCGCCAAATTTTCGGCTTTTTTGTCGATTCTGATTAGGTTCTCTGTTCTGATTAGTTTCTCTGTTCTGAGAGGTTCTCTGTTCTGATTAGGTTCTCTGTTCTGATTAGGTTCTCTGTTCTGATTAGTTTCTCTGTTCTGAGAGGTTCTCTGTTCTGATTAGGTTCTCTGTTCTGAGAGGTTCTCTGTTCTGATTAGGTTCTCTGTTCTGAGAGGTTCTCTGTTCTGATTAGGTTCTCTGTTCTGAGAGGTTCTCCTTAGTTCCAATTAAGTTCTCGAATGAGAACCTAAACGTTCCGTTTCGTCCAAAAACCTTTTTTTGAGGCATTAAGATGTTTTTAAAGTGTAGAAAGTGTAGAAAGTTCCAAAAACAAAAGACGTTTGTAACAAAAAGCATTGCTAAAGGCGTTTGTAAGTAAAGCACCGATAAATGTTTCTAAAACCTATAGAAAAACTTTTAAAACCTTTAAAAAAAGCTAATTACTGTTTAAAAATACTATAATAATCATAATCATAATGAAGTTTTCGGAAAAAAAGCAAAAACTTTGGCTGGAAGTGGAATTGAACCATAGATTTGGATCAGCATAGATTTGGATCGGCATAGATTTCTGAGTTTAGCACACTATCCTCTAAGCCGCTGGTGATGTGTTTCTTAGAATTGGGACGTTTTGTAGCTAGGTCTGCTTTACGTAGCTAGGTCTGCTTTACGGAGCTAGGTCTACTTTACGTAGCTAGGTCTACTTTCGTAGCTAGGTCTGCTTTCTCTAGTCTTACTGTAGCTTTTTAGACGAATGGAGACGAATGAATTGAACCCGCGAGGAAGGATCGGCATAGATTTCTGAGTTTAGCACAAGCTGCTGATGATGAGTTTCTTAGAGTTCGAGCGTTCTGTTAGCTAGGTAGCTAGGTAGCTAGGTAGCTAGGTAGCTAGGTAGCTAGGTACAGTACTGGACAATGAAATATCATATTTGCAAAACGATCGTCACTTTCGCGCGTCTGTAACTCCCTTGTCTTTGAGTTTAAACTATTAGTGTTATACATTTTCTGAAAGCTCTTTTCAAGGGCTACACAATGGTAATATTGATATTTAGAAATACGGTATTTTTTGCCGCATTTCAGCGCGCACAAGATGGGATACTCCAAATTTTCGATTTTCAAAGCTGTTTTTCTTTATGATAGAGTGCTGGAATCACTCTGAAACTACGATTTTCGGAATCTACGCAAAAATTTACCTTAGAATAATCAATATTTGTAAAATTGTATGAAAGTTTCATAGCGAAAAAAACCACATTTGCGAAATTCTCACTTCCTGGGGGGTCAAGCGAGGAAGGGCGGTTTATTTGCAAAAATTGTGTTGCGTGCAACTTTGAGTGTTTTTATATTGACATCTCAGATAAGACAATGCTTCCATGGGCCTACGGAGTTTTCGGAAAAGACTTTATTTATCAAGATGACAATGACCCCAAACATCAGTCTAAAGATGTGGGACAGTGGTTTGCTAATCAAGGTGTTGAGCGCTTAGAATGGCCAAGTCAATCGCCAGATCTTAACATTATTGAGAATTTGTGGAGTGAACTTGAGCGACGAACTAAGAATCTCAAAGCCGGCAATGCTGATGAGAAGTTTGCACAGCTGGAGCAGGCTGGGAATTCTATCCCCGTTAGTTTCATCATTAATCTTCTTGATTCAATGCCTCGGCGATGTCAAGCTGTAATCGACGCTAAAGGATTTGTTACTAAATAGTGAAATTTCCATTGTGTGCTCTGGAGTTTTCTCATTATTGTTTTGTTACCGTTTTTGTTCCTTTTTCATTTCACTACATTTTTGTTAAATATTTGTTTTCCAGCTTCTTCCTCGCTTGACCCCCCAGGAAGTGAGAATTTCGCAAATGTGGTTTTTTTCGCTATGAAACTTTCATACAATTTTACAAATATTGATTATTCTAAGGTAAATTTTTGCGTAGATTCCGAAAATCGTAGTTTCAGAGTGATTCCAGCACTCTATCATAAAGAAAAACAGCTTTGAAAATCGAAAATTTGGAGTATCCCATCTTGTGCGCGCTGAAATGCGGCAAAAAATACCGTATTTCTAAATATCAATATTACCATTGTGTAGCCCTTGAAAAGAGCTTTCAGAAAATGTATAACACTAATAGTTTAAACTCAAAGACAAGGGAGTTACAGACGCGCGAAAGTGACGATCGTTTTGCAAATATGATATTTCATTGTCCAGTACTGTAGCTAGGTAGCTCTGTTAGCTAGGTAGCTCTGTTAGCTAGGTAGCTAGATAGCTTTGTTAGCTAGGTAGCTAGATAGCTTTGTTAGCTTTGTTAGCTAGGTATCGTTTGTAGCTTTTTAGACGAATGGAGACGCCAATCGAGGGCGCTGAGGATCTCTCAAAGCAGACAAAAATTCGATACGGTACACTGGCAAAAGGATCAACAATGACGTTCTTTAATGTAAGAGAATGATTGATTGATTGGTTGATTGGTTGATTGATTGATTGATTGATTGATTGATTGATTGATTTAAAGATTGCAAGTTTAGGAATCAAAGATTGAGACGTACGAGCGAATGTGGAAAGCGATGAGTGATGGTGGCGGCACTTTTGTACAGAATAGTCGAGAGGGGATACAAAGGGTCAAGGTGAGCAAGAAAAACAAGAAAAACAAGAAAAAACGAACATTTCTACGATGCTGTTTAGTGAAAAAGGTTGTTTTCTAAAAGATACTCAAAGTTACCGAACACCAAAGCTAAGCCGAAGCTCGTGGGTGTGTGATTAAAGCTGAAAAATGGGTCATAACCTGAGACAAAACCAGTAGATGGACAAATAGACATAAAGAGAGTCTGAATGAGTTTAAGGCTTGCTCTTTAGGGCCTTTTCTACTTCCTTTCTACTGTAGGATTACGGTAAGATCTTCTTTTTTTTTTAAAAATGATTGAACAGAACTTTAGAGTGAAGTTTACGCTTATCTAATGGAATCATCGATGCTCGAGTACGCGGTCGAACGAGATTGCGAGTTGACACAGGTTAGAGGATGGGGAAGTTTCTCATAGTAGTTATTTGAACAATGGTTGTCAGACAATGGTTCTCTGACTTGTAATTTGAACATTTGTCAGGGCTATTTCCCTGAATCGTGGTCTCTTGAAAGTTCCGTGGTCCCTTGAAAGTTCCCTGGTCCCTTGAAAATTTCCTAATCCTCTTTTCCTTTCCTCAGACACGCAGATGTTTAAAGCTGGCATTCACATACAGCCAAGACAGACATCCTTGCCAACTTGACGATATCCTGTTGAGGCGACGAGGAATTCTGTCGACCAACGTCGGAGATGGCCACGCTACAAACGAGAGGCTTTCTCTTTGTGAGTGGATGTTTGCTGTAAGATTTTTCCAGCGATCGACTCGTGCTGCACCTTTTATTGACCCAATGTTTAATCTTCCTTAGTGTCTCTTCAACTCGAGCCCATAGAGGTACAGTACTGGACAATGAAATATGATATTTGAAAAACCAAATAAGAACCGTATAGGAACCGTATTGGAATCGTATTGGAACTGTATTGGAACCATATTGGAATCGTATTGGAACCGTATTGGAACCATTTTGGAACTGTATGGGAACTGTATTGGAACCGTATTGGAATCGTATTGGAATCGTATTGGAACCGTATTAGAATCATATTAGAACCGTATTGGAATCGTATTGGAATCGTATTAGAACCGTATTGGAACCGTATTGGAACTGTATTGGAATCGTATTGGAACCGTATTGGAACCGTATTGGAACCGTATTGGAAACGTATTGGAATCGTTATGGAACCGTATTGGAAACGTATTGGAACTGTATTGGAATCGTATTGGAATCGTATTGGAACCGTATTAGAATCATATTGGAACCATATTGGAACCGTATTGGAAACGTATTGGAAGCGTATTAGAACCGTATTAGAACCGTATTGGAACCATATTGGAATCGTATTGGAACCGTATTGGAAACGTATTGGAACCGTATGAGAACCGTATTGGAACCATATTGGAACCGTATTGGAACCGTATTGGAACCGTATTGGAAACGTATTGGAAGCGTATTAGAACCGTATTAGAACCGTATTGGAACCGTATTGGAACTGTATTGGAATCGTATTGGAACCGTATTGGAACGGTATTAGATCAAAATGGAACCGTATTGGAACCGTATTGGAACCGTATTGGAACCGTATTAGAACCGTATTGGAACCGTATTGGAACCGTATTGGAAACGTATTGGAACCGTATTAGAACCGTATTAGAACCATATTGGAACCGTATTGGAACCGTATTGGAACCGTATTGGAACCATATTGGAATCGTATTGGAACCGTATTGGAACCGTATTGGAAACGTATTGGAAGCGTATTAGAACCGTATTGGAACCGTATTGGAACCGTATTGGAACCGTATTGGAACGGTATTGGAATCGTATTGGAACCGTATTGGAACCGTATTGGAATCGTATTGGAAGCGTATTTGATCAAAATCGAAACCGTATTGGAACCGTATTTGATCAAAATAGGAACCGTATTGGAACCGTATTCGCCACTTCAAACGATCGCCACTTCAAACGATCGCCACTTCAAACGATCGCCACTTCAAACGATCGCCACTTCAAACGATCGCCACTTTCGCGCGTCTGTAACTCCCTTGTTTTTGAGTTTAAACTATTAGTGTTATACAGTTTCTGAAAGCTCTTTTCAAGGTAAATTTTTGCGTAGATTCCGAAAATCGTAGTTTCAGAGCGATGCCAGCACTCTATCATAGAGAAAAAAGCTTTGAAAATCAATTTTTGAGCAAACATTTCGAGTATCCCATCTTGTGCGTGCAGAAATGCGTCAAAAAATACCGTGTTTCTAAATATTAATATTATCATTGTGTAGCCCATGAAAAGAGCTTTTCGGAAAATGTATAACACTAATAGTTTAACGCAAAGACAAACGCAAAGACAAGGGAGTTACAGACGCGGGAAATTGACGATCGTTTTACGACGACGAGAGACCAGCACTGTAGAACGAGATCGTTATCGGCTTCAGCGTCGATCTCGTCATCAGCGTTTGCATTATTGCCGGTAGTTTCTTCTTGGTGGTCATTGATTAGCCAATCGAGCGTCTCATCAAAGCGCGAATCGTCACAGGCTTCTGCGTCGGGCAGACGTCAAACTGCTTGATGTGGAGCGACTTGAAAGATCACGAGATAATAAAATACGACTCGAAAGATCACGAGACTTTTAAAAACCAGGGAAAGAGCCGTCCTTTTTTCCCCCGTTGGCAATTTAAGGTTTTTCGTATTTTTCTCAGCACCAACCCTTCGCTTTTCACTATTTTAACTATCATTCGATGCAGAATCAAATTCCGCGTCGAATGACGCCAAAACCAACTCAAAATATAAAATCTACGAAAAGTTGTTGGCTGATTTGTCTCATAACTTTGCGTGGATACTGTATTTTTAGTTTGTTTTGGTGTCATTCGACGCGGAATTTGATTCTGCATCGAATGCATCGTCAATATAATTAAAATCGAAGAGTTATTGTTGCGGAAAACACGAAAAACCCTAAATTGACGGCAAAAAGGATTCATCAAGGAAACTGGCATAGAAAATTCTCAAATTTCTTCGAATCCTTATCAATTCTTTTGCCAGGTCGGTGGTTTGCTCGATCAAAAGGGTTATGGAGTTGGCCTTCCAAAAGGATCACCGAATCGAGCGGCAATTTCGAGAGCGATTCTCTACCTTCAAGAGACCACTGTGTTAACTGAGTTAAAAAATAAATGGTTTGTCAAAAAAAGATTACTATAGTCGGTAAGACAGGGAGGAAGACAGGGAGGAAGACAGGGAGTAAGACAGGGAGGAAGACAGGGAGGAAGACAGGGAGGAAGACAGGGAGGAAGACAGGGAGGAAGACAGGGAGGAAGACAGGGAGGAAGACAGGGAGGAAGACAGGGAGGAAGACAGGGAGGAAGACAGGGAGGAAGACAGGGAGGAAGACAGGGAGGAAGACAGGGAGGAAGACAGGGAGGAAGACAGGGAGGAAGACAGGGAGGAAGACAGGGAGGAAGACAGAAAAAGTTTCAGGTGGAAAGACGCGTCTCATTCTTGCGGGAATCACATCCGCAATCCGGACGACGATGGCGGACCGGTGGCCGGTTTGGCGTTGTGTTTGGTAAGGTTAAGCTGGACAACTGAATAGCCAAATATCTGAATAGCTGAATATCTGAAAACTAAATAACTGAATATCTGAATAGCTGAATATCTGAATATCTGAATAGCTGAATAGCTGAATAGCCAAACATCTGAATATCTGAATATCTGAATATCTGAATATCTGAATAACTGATTAACTGAATATCCGAACAACTGAATAGCTAAATATAGCTAAATATAGCTGAATATAGCTAAATATAGCTGAATAGCTTTCCAATCCTTTATCTAACTCAAAGATATTCAGTCTAAGTGTACTGTAACGAAGTCAGGTGTCTCCCTGCTCAAATTATGCTTTTAAAAACGGCTTTTCTTTCAGCTCAGCGGTCTCGTTTTCTCCACAACTCTCTCAATTCTTCAATATATGATCTCTTTGTGGCCAAGAGACGAAAAACCGATACAAGTACGCAATGAAACAAATAGAAAACAAATAGAAAACAAATAGAAATCAAATAGAAATCAAATAGAAATCAAATAGAAAACAAATAGAAAACAAATAGAAAACAAATAGAAAACAAATAGAAATCAAATAGAATCGAAAAGTGTCTAAAAAGTTACAGTATCTTATTTAAAAACAGTCAAAAAAACCCGTCAAATGGCGAGTTTTTCGGCCGAAAAAACCCATCTAATGACCGGTTTTTCGACCCGAACCCGGTCTTAACCGAGTTTTTTTACCCAACACCACTTGATCATCGTGGCGCAGTGAGGAGCGCGCTCGTCTACAACCCACACGACGCGAGTTCGACTCCCGGCTGCGTCATGACTTTTCGTTTTTCGTAAAAAAAAAGGTTAAAGCTTAAAAAACCAAAATCTCAAATGCAAAACTACACATAATTCTAAGTCTAATAAACTAAAAATCATATAAATCGGCTCAAAAAAAGAAGCCGAGAAAAGATGTCAAAAATGCAACAAAAGGAGTCGTCGAAATCGAATTTTTCAGTCAGTTCCCACCCTGTCAGCTCTTCTTTCTGTGGCCATTTTGGGTATAAAAGCGCCGCAGGAGATTCGTCGCAAAATCGGTTCGTTGAAAATCGGTTCGTTCGTTTTTGTTCAAAAAAAAAAAAAAACTAGTGCATTCCTAGTCGAGGAGTCGGCGGTAATGGCTGAAAATCGTTGCCACTCGTACTGATTCCAGGAATGCTGTACAATTAAGACTACAACTCGAATCATTTCAATCTAAAAAGACATTTGAACTCTTTTCAATCACTACGGTAGTCGTATCAATTTCTAATTTCTCATATTCTTAAATCCCTTTCGCAGGCCGTTTGGATCAAGTGGAAAGCGTTGTCGAAAGAGCGCCGAGTCGTGAGATGTCAAATGAGGTAAATTTTTAGCCAAAAAAGCAACTTTAGAGTCCAAGCGTAACACAAAATTTGCTAATTTCTAAAGAAATAAAGTATCAATGTTAAAATTTCAGAAACTCTTCCAAAATGGTGAAAGCCTCGATCGATCGTCGACACTCCGAAAAGATCGCGAGAGACGGCGAACATTGACGCTCACCGATATGAGATCGCTCGGCTTTTAGTACAAAACGAAACCACCCAAATCTACCGTAATCCTTCCTATTTTGCACTAATCAATAAGCTAGTTCATAGTTCAATCAATAAGCTAGTTCATATAAGCTTTTCCCTAAAGAATATTGCACTTTTATTCTAAATCGAATCACAAGACAAATGGTCAATAAATTCGATAAAAATTGAACTAAAAAAGTTTTGAATAAAACAATAAATAGACATTAAAAGGTAAAGCTCACAAAAATTGACTAGAAGAAGAGATAGAAGAGATTTTTCTCGAGATTCAAGCCTCGGCTTGAAATTGGACGTGCGTGAAGTTGGTCGAGATGGTCGACGAAAGTTGTGGAGTGCCCGTGCAAAGAACACAACGACCCATCACGTTGAATGGAGAACCTGAAAGAAAAACTGAAAATTTGCAATTTAACTAGCCGTTTTCGTTTATTTATCGTTACGAACCTATCAATTTGCCGATCTTCCCAATATTGAAAACGAATGTTTTCTTTAAATTTAAAAAAGGGGGGTTTAAACAGAGTGCTATTAATTTGCTGCTCGATTTTAACAGAATAGCCAAATAGTGGCTAGCAACCATAGACGATTGAACCAAAGTTGCAAATAAGCTAGCAAAAACGGCAACTTGTTTTCTAAAACCCTACCATCCGGACTGATGATAGTCCCTCCGGCTTCTCGAATGATCACCGCAGCTGCCGCCACATCCCACGCATGAATTCCGTACTCAATGTACCTGAAAACAAGTAATTAATTAGTAAGCAAGTCAGTCAAATTCTTAAAAACACCATCAATAACATCTTCTCACGATTTTATCAAATAAAACACACCCATCAACACTCCCTTGTGCAACCATCATCATGTTAATCGCCGCCGACCCAAACGAGCGATTTCTGAAAAGAAAAAGAATTAGCAAGGATAAAGTACTCTTTACTTTTACTTTACAGACATACAAACTTTATTCTAATTTTCATCATTTTCATATAATTCTAAATTTTCATATACTAATTGCAAAATGTTTCGTTAAAATCACGTTTTATGATCAATACTCAACGAACGGACCCTTGTGCATTATGTTTGAGCATAAGTGTTTGGTAGCTTTGGATGAATGATGAGATCATCTCGGGACGGCGATCCGACCCTAGTTGAGTCACCACAACCGCTGCGGAGAGATCTGGAAGAGGAGGATTTCGAAAGAAAAAACAAAATTTTTCATGGCAGCAAGTTCAAAAATATATTCTATCACCCCTAAGTTACTCTTTAAAATCAAAAGGTCAAAGTAAAAAGGCCAATTATAGCACGAAGAGTCCGTTCGATGATTTGATTTGTGACACACAGAAGAGAACATACCCTATAGTTTTAAAATTTCTAAGCACTTGTAGCTTTTTCTTGGTTCCATACGTGTGTTGACGATACTCCATAAAAATCTGTTCATCTCGAACGCACAAACGCGGACAGACACTCAATAAATCACAGGCCGGCTCTCCCTTAAGCTCACCCTCGAAATCCGGCTTGAACCAGCTTTCGTTGATTCTCGAAATTGAGATCGGTCCATTTTGCACCGAATGATTCTCTCAAGTTGTGAATTCCCAATGAGATCGCGATCACCGCTTTTGAGAGCTCTGAGAGAGAAAATTTCCTTATAAATCTGTGCAAAAACGGGGAGGGGAAATCTTAAGGAAGATTTTGTGGTTCATGAATCGTTTTCAATCAGACTTGAAACACAAAACTTAAAACATATGCAATAACGTATCCTATTGCATTCAATCCTCTTTATAAAGAAAACTCAGCCTTCGTTGCAAAAAAAAGTTCCTAACGTGTAGATAAAACCAAATTATACCTTGTGTCGACGAAGCGTGAATTGGAAAACCGTTCTTGAAGGCCCCAGTTCCAACCTAAATCGATTCGAAATTTTATTTGCCGAATGAAACCATTTCAAACCTGCGCTGTATAGAGTTCATTTGTGATCGGATTGTAAACGATTCCTCCTCGTAACTCCTTGTTTATCGAAAGTCCCACACAAATGGCAATCAACGGAATTCTAACAATAGTTCAGATGTAGGTTATTTCTAATGCTTTAGATACAGATTCTTTCTAATTCTTTCTAATGCTTTAGATTCTTACGTCAGCGTCAGCGATTTATTTGTACTAAAATTGAACAAACCTATGCACAAAATTTGTCGTTCCATCAATTGGATCGATTATCCACGTGGGCGCATCTGTCCACTCAATTTTCGCACCACCCGATACCGATTCTTCGCCAATAAATCTAAAAATCAAAATTTTTTTTTTATCGCAAAACATTTTGTAATATTTTTGCTAAATTTTCTTACTTATGATCAGGAAAAGCTGCATGTAGTCCATCAATCAGATAGCGTTCCACGGCTCGATCCGTTTCCGTCACAAGGTCAGTCTATAAACCAAGATATTCGAATTTACAAGACCACTAGTAGAATCAGTTACATCTATAGAATTTAATAAACTCACGTTTGACGATTTCGTCTCAACAGCAGAAGCGGGTTGCTCGAAAGCTTCACGAACAATCTAAAAAAAATCAACAATTAGTTTGGCTTCTGTATTAACGACTACACTAATCTAAATTTTAGGTTAAGTAAATCTTTCATTTGTTCAAAACGTTACTGATGAACTTCGGGAGCACTTTGACCCGACTTGGTCAGACCCTATTCTACGCTTGCTTTTTTCTAGCCTTGTTTTGCATTTTCTGGGGTAATCAAAGGCACTTAATCGATTGCCGCTATTTTTAGAGTATTTTGAAAAAGTTTTCACGTTGCATTTTGTCCCTCTCTTCATTTTTAAGCTTAGCAACACTGTCGAGACAAAACTCCAGATAGCTTAACAAAATCAACAATCAACAATCAACAAAAATTGTTCAAAACTTTCTAAAAATCTTATTAATAGATTCATCATGTTTGATTATCCCAGCAAAAGTAAAATAACTTTGGTAAAACAGTCAAAAAATACAAGCTGACCAAGTCGGGTCAATGGGCCCCCTTCGAAGTTTATTAGTACCAAGTTTATCAGTATTAGTAGTTTATTGGTCTTTGCAAAAAGTTCGTTAGAACATTTGGTACTAATGCACCTATGGGGGAGCCGCTTTTTTTTTGCTCGAAAACCACTTTATTAAAGGTTTTTGACTGCGCCGATTCCAAATTTTATCAAATTTTTATAGATTCTTAATTGAGCTCCTAGTTTTTAGAATAAGAAGAATAATAGAAGTTTTTCGAATTGTAGAAAATTCGCTTTTTAAACAAAAGACTTAAATCGGCTATCCAATCCACAAAATCATCGTCTGAAAACAAAAGCTTCTGGCTTAATTCGAGGAGGGTGATTTCCTTGCAATTGATTAATCGCCATCTCCGCGAGAAGAGAGAAGATTTTAAGTGTTTTTTTCGGAAGAATTTATACGATTTCTAGCAAAAGAGTGGGGGGGCTTTAGCAAGTTATAAAACGTTTAATCAGTTTCACCACTCCTAAGCTTACAAGTTTAAGCACATTATGCCTACATGAGAAGAGCCAGAATTCAATTAAAAACCTATCAAAAATTTTATCAAATTTGGAATCGGCGCAGTCAAAAAGGAGGTGGGACAAATGCGACCTTTTTTTTGCTGGAAAAGGCCTTAGGAAAGGTCGTAGAGCTTCAAAAATGCTTTCACAGAAGGGAATCGTATGCGTAGATTCCGAATTTCGACAAATCAGACCTCGCTGACACGTCAAATTTGGGCTAAAAGGCAAAAACTACGCAACTTAACGCTTTTCCGTAGTTTTTGCCTTTTAGCCCAAATTTGACGTGTCAGCGAGATCTGATTAGTCGAAATTCGGAATCTACGCATACGATTCCCTTATTTTCGAAGCTCTACGGCCTTGCCTAAGGCCTTTTCCAGCTAAAAAAGGTCGCATTTGTCCCACCCCCGTCAAAAACCTCTAATAAAGTGGTTTTCGAGTAAAAAAAAAAGTGGCCATTAGTACCGAACATTTCTACAAACCAAAATTTAGAAAACAAAGAAACAAATCTTATTGTTTCAGATCATATTGTTTTTAAAATTTCCCCAAAAAACCCTCACCCTTCCCGCCGATTTCACCAAGCCGAGCGCAGTGTTGAAGAATTTTTGCTCATCCGGATGCACGGCCGTGAAAACCATCTGAAATTAAGTGAAAAATCATGAAATTTGTCTAACAAAATCACATTGAGAATGAAATAAAAGGAAGATTTTTTCGCAGAAATAATATTTTATTCGTAGCAAAGTTGACAGAGTTGTCGAGACAAAAATGAACGCTAATTTAAGTTAATTTGTTAATTTTCTGATGAAAGCAGAAAAATGTCAAATTCGATGAAAAAAACACAGAGCACAAACTACCAAAAATCGTTTAGATTGGGGAGTGGGACAAATGCGACCTTTTTTTTTGCGCACCCGGACATTTGCGCACCTTGCCCATTAGCGCACCTTTTTCGCGTTTTAAAAAAGCTCTAAAAAGCTAATATTAATCAATTTCTATTCCAAAAGTTGTTTTTCTAGGTAATTTTAGGGCGTAGAATCGAAATTTTGACATATCAGAGCTTGTGGAAACAAACGGACGGAGTTATACAAAGAGAAAAATCGACAATTTTCTGTAATTTGATCTAGCCGTTTTGTCTTTCAAATTGGTTCCACACGCTCTGTTATGTCAAAATTTGAATTCGACACCCTCAAATTACCTAGAAAAACAACTTTTGGAATAGAAATTGGTTAATATTAGCTTTTTAGAGCTTTTTTAAAACGCGAAAAAAGGTGCGCTAATGGGCAAGGTGCGGAAAAAAAGGTGCGCAAATGTCCAGGTGCGCAAAAAAAAGGTCGCATTTGTCCCACTCCCCAAACTACCAAAAATCGTTTAGATTGCTTTAAAATTGATAAAAATCATTGATAAAAGAGCTAGCATTTATTTTCTTCGAAAACTTCATTCCAATACTCTCAAATATTCAGGTTTAAACCAATTAAACCAATACCTTTCAAATTTTGCATAATAAAACTTTTATTTCAAACATTAGCATCAATAACAAATGCGAATCAATAACAAAATATGAAAAACAAGCATACCCGATAAAGTTCACCCGTTAAAACACAAAAAAAAATGCTGCCCGTTTTGCGCAAAATTTGAAATAAACCTATAAAATAACAAAACGAACTTAAAAAAGTATAAAAACGTAACCATAAAAACAATCGAAAACTCTAAGTCAATGTAGATTTTTATGTTTTTGTAAGTATTTTCATTACTTTCCTCCGAATCGTCGCCTCATCCGACTCATCAACGGTGGAGTGATGAAAAGTTGGCCACCTAAAAGAGTTACCATTAAATGTTTATCAATTCTATAGCTTAGAAGTGATAAATTTTTCCACTACATTTTCTTTTTCTACAAAACACCAACCAGCTACTTCTTTCCAGCCACAAATTCGACCACAGAGTCTCTTCTGTTGCTTGAAGAGCTCGATTCAGGACAGCCCAGGCTCTAAAAGTGGCTTAACAATGCTTGAATTGCCTCCAATTTTTACAAAGTTACCTCCAATTTTTTTGATTCTCCGCGTAATCCAAAAACGCAAACATTGTTTGCACGATTTCCAAATGTGACGCGGGATTGTTTCTAAGAACATAGAAACAACAAGTGATCAAAGAGCTCGAAACTTACTGTATCGTGCCTTCCGCCCACAAAACCCACAGCTCATCGGCACAATGAACGTTCGGCTTCTGGTAGGGTAACATCTGAAATTTGAAACATCTGAAAGATTCACGAATTCACGGCTAAGTCACGAGTTTCACCATCTAATTGTCCAGTTTATGAAGTCAAATCTTATCTAACTTATTTCAATAAACGTAATATTCTTAAAAAACAAACATCTTTAATCCTTTGCTCGACATCTTGCAAATTGAAGCTATTCAACGTGGTAATCGTCGTTGTGATAAGCGAGCTGTTCTCCATCAACTCGTCAAGTATATCCGATAAACTAAAAAAATGTTCAGTTTATGAAGTCTTATATAACTTATTCAATCAACGTCATATTCATAAAAACAAAAATCTTTAATCCTTTGTTCGACATCTTTTGCTTAGGAATGCTTGCTTAGGAATGCTTGCTTAGGAATATTACTTAGGAATGCTTGCTTAGGAATATTACTTAGGAATGCTTGCTTAGGAATATTACTTAGGAATGCTTGCTTAGCAATATTACTTCTAAGTGCTAACGATAGATTCAAGAAATTTACCTTGTCTCGTCGTCCAATTGCCCAGATTGAGCCATAACACGTAATGCCATTTCGGCAAGAAGTGAACCCTCGTCTCCAATTCCAAATTCTGAAGCACAACCCTAAATAAATTTTTGAACAAAGTTACCTTTACTACTGCTAATTGCATATTCAATTCATTAAGCATCTTTCAGAAGCACTAACCAAAAGCTCATTCGCTAAATCCTTAACTCCATGTTGACTTGTCGGCCTCTCTGTGAAGTATTTGTGCATCAACTGGATTGCCAGCATATATTTTTGATTCTAAAATATTTTTTAAGAGAATCTACACCAAGTATTGGTTATCTAACTTTTCCTGACAACATTGACGATTGTCGATATTTCAGTAACAAGCCAACAAGTTCGAGTTCGCCCCATGCGAAGAGTGTCATCGTCACCATGTAAGCGAATTGAGCCAGCAGAGCGCTAAAGATGGGAAATGAAAAAAAGTTAACGATATCACTCACTATTAAACTAACTTATCATCCAGGCTCCATGCGCGATGAGTTTTGATTAACGTCATCGCTTGTTGGAGAACAAAATGACCTTTTGCCTTCGAAGAAACCTGAAAAAGGCAATAATTTGCAATAATTGTCAAATATATAATCAAATCAATTTATTCAAAATCTGGATTTTTTTATTGTTGAGTGACAAAACAACCAAATTAAACACAAGAAATGATAGTTTTTATTCAAAAACAAGAAAAAACCCTCACCTTTGAGACGATTGCTCTTTGCAGTATAGTATTGAGAAATATTGGCACCATGATTTTCTTCGTTTGCGTGTTCAATTTGCTAGGAGGAACGAAGTAGCGACGAGATTTCTGAATTAAACAATGATAGTGTGTTTCTTGAAGCATTAAGAACATTAAGAACATTAAGAACATTAAGAACACTCTCTGCAAATTTCCAACCTGTTTATCCGAAGCGAAGAGCCACTTTTTCGTTAACTTAAATTCACATGACTTTCGGAGGCTTTCCTCGAGTGCTAAAAGATAATGAATAAGAAAATTAATAAGATAATGAATAAGATAATGAATAAGAAGATGAATAAGATAATGAATAAGAAAATGAATAAGAAAATGAATAAGATAATGAATAAGAAAATGAATAAGATAATGAACAAGATAATGAATAAGAAAATTAATAAGAAAATGAATAAGATAATGAATAAGTTAATGAATAAGATGATGATTTAAGAGAATGATTTAAGAAAATGATTTAAGGGAATGACTTTTAAGAGAATGCTTGATTGGTATAATTTCCTTTAATTCACTTACCACAGACTTTCCCCAACTGATCCCATTGATGATGTTGAATGAGGCGATGAGTTTTCGTTAAGAACTTCGTGAAATCGTAGATGTTGCGTTGAATAGGACTAAAAAGTTATTACAAACTGAGAATGCTTTGCTCAGAAAGAATTAGGCATTAGAATTAGGAAAGAATTTTCGATTAGGCTTTTTTTTAAGAACTAAAATCTTACATCGTTCCTCGATCGTATTTGAAAGAAGAGAGAAAATATTGTGCCTCCGCCAATTTATGTTCGAATTTCCCCAAATCATACAATCTAAACAAATTGTATATGGCGTAGCCGTTTACGAAATTCAGCCGCTAACGAATGAGGGTATTTCCGGGCATCCAATCAAAAAGTCACCGACATAAAAAGTGTTCATAATACATATATTTTATAATAAATTTTTGAAATTCGCTCATTTGGTTCAGTAGAAAATTTTTTTTGAGCCCCAAAAGTTTAGGTTCAAAAATGCCCTAAAATAGCTATAAAAGATTTTCTACTCAGCCAAAAAACTTGCCTAATGGCTCATTTTGTAGCCAAATTGATGTAGATTCTTAAAGTAAAGCTACATTGAACATTTGTTTTTCAAAGCTAGGAGAAAGAGGGCGAAGAACGACTTCAGTTGAACTCGGTCGCTGTTTTCACATTTGAGAATTGTCCTGAATTTGTTCCTTGCCCTCTTTCTCCTACTTTCAACGAAAAATTGTTTTAGATGGCTTTACTTTAAGAAACTACATCAAATTGGCTACAAAATGAGCTATTAGGCAAGTTTTTTGGCTGAGTAGAAAATTTTTTATAGCTATTTTAGGGCATTTTTGAACCTAAACTTTGGGGGCTCAAAAAAATTTTCTACTGAACCAAATGAGCTAATTTCAAAAATTTATTATAAAATATATGTATTATGAACACTTTTTATGTGGGTGACTTTTTGATTGGATGCCCGGAAATACCCTCATTCGTTAGCGGCTGAATTTCGTAAACGGCTACGACATATATAAAACCAACGTTGAATCACTTACAATTTTGGTAAATTGAGTGGCACTTTCCCGTAAACATCTAAATAGTACGAGTTGATGCGACAACTAAAGGAAAACATTTTAGAACTCTTTTATTTAAAGAGTACCTCAATGATTGTTTATAGTCGAAGAAAGCGGGAATCCCATTAAGGCACATTGTTTCGCAACTCTCGATAGCGAATCTCTGAAAAATGTTAGACTTGCAAAATAAAGATCTGCTTAGATTCTTAAATCTGCTTACAACTTAAATTGCTTAGAAGCCTAGGAGCGCCAAATTGAAAAATCAAAAAGTAAGCGTAAAATTGCAGAAACTCACTCGATTATACTCATTTCTGAGACGGTGAGTTGCTTTTTCTACGTATTTCTGCATCAGTTTCAGCGTCGATTCGTCAGCTAAAGTAAAAAATGACAACACTTTAACAGGCTAAAGGATAAGAAGACTGGGCTCTTGCGTAGTTTCCGGGTAATTTGAACGAGTCGCGCACTTTGAAGGCCTATAACTTTCCCCAAAGATGATATTTTTGTTAACTTTTTATATCATTGTACAAAGAACATTTTAGGCTTTCAAATGATACTAAAGAGAGGTTGATTGGAGAATCGAATCCAAGAAAATTCGAGTCAACTCTAGGCAATTGAGGCCTATCCGATCCGAGTGTCGTTTGGCCTGGTTTTTATGGGAATGAAAAATCCAATCAAGCTCTATTTAGTATCATTTGAAAGCCTAAAATCTCCTATATTCAATGATATAAAAGGTTAACAAAAATATTATCTCTGGGCAAAGTTATAGGTCTTCAAAGCGCGCGACTCGTCCAAAATCGTTCGGAAACTACGCAAGAGTCGAATTTGATGATTTTAATGAGAAAAGAGGCACTATAAAGAAAATTTTTACACAAAGTGGTTATTTTGAGAGAGAGATTAGAGAGATTAGAAAGATTAGAGAGATTAGAAAGATTAGAGAGATTAGAAAGATTAGAGAGATTAGAAAAATTAGAGAGATTAGAAAGATTAGAGAGATTAGAAAGATTATAAGATTAGAAAGATTATAATGATTAGAAAGATTATAATGATTAGAAAGATTATAATGATTAAAAAGATTGTAATGATTAGAAAGATTGTAATGATTAGAGGTGATGCGGTAACAGGTACCTCCAGGCTCACCAGTTCCCGTACAACTACCTAATCTAGTCGGTTTTATATCATTGTATAGAGGACATTTCAGGCTTTCAAATGATACCAAATAGAGCTTAATTAGATCTTTCATTGCTATGAAAACCAGGCCAAACGACACTCGGATCGGATAGGCCTCAATTGCCTAGAGTTGACTCGGAATTTTCTTGGATTCGATTCTCCAATCAACCTCTATTTAGTATCATTTGAAAGCCTAAAATGTTCTTTGTACAATGATATAAAAAGTTAACAAAAATATCATCTTTGGGGAAAGTTATAGGCCTTCGAAGTGCGCGACTCGTTCAAAATACCCGGAAATTACGCAAGAGCCCAGTTTATCCATTTTCTTTTCAAAACTTACTTACCTATTAGATCTTCGAGCGGTATTTTCGTGGCAATATCGCAATCGTAAACGCTTCTGGAGCTCACGTCCGCATTTCCTTGCTCAGCTTCTTCCTCCTCATCGTTTCCCGCTGTTGACATCTAAAATAGTGCAATTTAACGTAAAAAATCAATCCAATCCAATCCAAGTCAAACCAAAAGAAAACTTTAAAAATCTTGAATTAACAACAAGAAATGGACTATTTCAGTCAATAAAGAAGGACTTTTCACTGAAAGCATGAAAAATAAATCAGTATTTTGATCAAATCCACTTTTTAGCAGTTAAAGAAATGGAAAAGCAAAGAAATTCTCAAAATTTTATCCAGGAATAGCGTAAAAGCTGCTATTCTTTCTTGTTGTTGACTCAAATCCCGCAAATGAATGTGGAGAAAACACGGCAACTATGTGATACGAGTAACGTTTTTGCCTCAAAAAGGAGAAAAGGGGGAAGACGAAGGCTCATCAATGGAGAGAAAAGGCACACGCATCAATTCACCGCAAAAAAGGAAAGGAATCAAGGGGAATTCAGCGATGAAATGGGCTCTTTTCTTGGAGAATCACGCAAAAAAAAGGACACTAAAACCCTATGAAATGGCTAGTAGTGCGTTCTAAAATTGCTTAAGGTATAAAAGTTAAAAAAAACCAAAATTTAGACGTGTTACACCGATTTCCGCAAGTGTTTAATCGCTTAAACATTCTTAAACACCCTAAATGAAAGAAATTTCGAAAAATCCCTTTACAGTGGTCCACAAAAGTAATGCCCCATTTGCAAAGAATTAACAATATTTTTTAAAATCAATACTTGGTTGGTCCTCGGTTTGCTTTTATCACTTCATTGAGTCGATCCTGCATGGAATCCACGAGATTCTTCAAAAGACTTTGGTGGCCCAGAGACGTTGGCCCAGAGCCCAGAGACAGGATGGTGGCCCAGAGACGTTGAATGTGAACCCATAAGGCGGCGTTTGAATCGATGTCTTTCCCTTGACTTGCGACTTCACAAATGACCAGAGATGCTCGATAACATTGATATCCGTTGACTAGGGAGGCGGATTGATCAATTTGACTCAACTTTCCGCAAACCAGCCCGGAAGTCGTGCTCGTGTACCATTCTGAAGAGTCACCACCGTTCCCATCATGAGCCTTGACTTATGTTTCGGTTCGTTGTCCTGGTAAAGCATCCATCCAGGAGGCATCGTCTGTGTGGCAAAAGGAAGCATTTTAGTCTTCATAATGTTCTTGTAGGCCACAACATCCATCGTTGAGTTGACATGAACTAACGAACCCACCGAAGTTCGTGACATAGCTCCCAAAGAAAAACAGTCAGATAACAAAATACTAAAAAGGCTCTCACCCCCAACACATTATATTTCCCCCGTTGAATTTCACCGTAGACTGAATGTACTTGAGTGTGTATCGCTTTCCAGTCGGTCGCCGAATGAGATGATTTCCGTCCGCGTGAAATAAATTGATTTTTGCCTCATCGGTAAATAACATAAATGACACTTTCGCCCAATCACGTGTTGCGCAACTTTGGTAGGTCCGTGCAAAGTCCTGCTTCCGGTGCTTAGAGTTCATCAGAGGTTTACGGGCAGCCCATCTTGCATATAATCCAGCTTGATTTAATCGTCGTCTGATCGTTTCCGGCGAAACAATGGGCAACAAATCCAGGCCAGCCAAAGCCAGGTCATATGCATATAATCCAGCTTGATTTAATCGTCGTCTGATCGTTTCCGGCGAAACAATGGGCAACAAGTCCAGGCCAGCCAAAGCCATGCTCTATGCATATAATCCAGCTTGATTTAATCGCCGTCTGATCGTTACCGGCGAAACAATGGGCAACAAGTCCAGGCCAGCCAAAGCCATGCTATATGCATATAATCCAGCTTGATTTAATCGTCGTCTGATCGTTTCCGGCGAAACAATGGGCAACAAATCCAGGCCAGCCAAAGCCAGGCCATATGCATGGCGTTTGGCCTGGCTAGCCATGGCTTCTGGCTTTTTGGAACAGCCCTGATCATTGTACATTGAATTGATTACAAAGGCTTTTTGAAAGTAATGAAAGTGACTTGAGAGAAATCATGGATCCCTATTCGCAACTGGTAAAGTTCATGGTTCATGCCACAGAAAGGCAATGCTTCCCTAAAGTGCACTTTTCGAAAGCCAATTATTTATGTCTGCTCCGCGAAAAACCAACCATTAGCTTATGGTTAAACTTTTTGAAAATGAATCACAAACTTAAAGTGCGCTTCAGAGAAACGAGACTCGTATGGAAGTTGTCTGAGAACTCGCAACAACTGAGGCTTTACATGATCGTTGATATTGTTTCACGTCGTAGAAAGGTACCAGGTCTATTCAGCTTTGAATTCTACGAAAATTGCAAAAGTTATTGGATTAAGAGCTTGTCACAAGTTATAGCTCTATAGTGTACCTAAGTGTACGCTGTTCTACTAGTTCTAAAGTATGGTTCTAAAGTCCCAGCAATACTTTCTAAGTTTTCTAATATTAAGCTTGACATCGTCGGCATCAACCCTTTCTCATTTCCTGATACGATTTTTCTTACAAACCGGAAATGATCTCGTCGACTTTCATTTCCTCAACCCCTCTCACTCGAGAAATTCCGTAAAAGTTTTTGGTCAAGAAGCAAGAAGCAATCGAAAATTCTTCTAAAACTGACGGGCACGCGACAATTTTCTCGTAGAGCTTTTTTGTGGACTGATAAGACTGAATGGGAGGCTTGTGTACACACAAAACGCTGCCCATTTCTCACAAAACGCTAAATAAGCTTAATTCTCATCACTCAAACGGCTAGCCAACGAAAACGCGTGATATGAATCGAGAAAATTTTAGCTCTTGAAATATGGCATCATCTTTGGAATTTGAGATTTGGAATTTAGCTATTTGTAAGCTAATATGGGAGATGGGAATTTTAGAGTCGGAAGAGACGAAAGAGGCTAATTGATTTAGTCATGTGAGGGTTATTGAAACTAAATTTGAGTCTTGTATGTGTCTTGTGTTCTTGAGTTGACGTTTTGTGTTGTGATCAAGGTTTTGTGTTGATGTTTGAGTTGATGTTTTGGGTTGTGATCATTGAAAGTGTGTTTTGGTCTTAGCTGCTGAGTCAACTTTAGAATAATATAATGTTTATGTTTATATTATGTTTATAATGTTTTTAATATTTTGTTAATATTTTGTTTGTTTATATTTTGTTTGTTTATATTTTGTCTGTTTATATCTTGTTTGTTTATATGGGGGTGGGACAAATGCGACCTTTTTTTTGCGCACCTTTTTTTTGCTGGAAAAGGCCTTAGGAAAAGTCGTAGAGCTTCAAAAATGTTTCCATAGAAGGGAATCGTATGCGTAGATTCAGAATTTTGACAAATCAGACCTCGCTGACACGTCAAATTTGGGCTAAAAGGCAAAAACTGCGGAAAAGCGTTAAGCTGCGTAGTTTTTGCCTTTTAGCCCAAATTTGACGTGTCAGCGAGGTCTGATTTGTCGAAATTCGGAATCTACTCATACGATTCCCTTACATGAAAACATTTTTGAAGCTCTACGGCCTTACCTAAGGCCTTTTCCAGCAAAAAAAAAGGTGCGCAAATGTCCCACCCCCATATTTGTTTGTTTATAGTTTGTTTGTTTTATTTGTTTTCTTTATAATATTTTATATTTTGCTTGTTTTATTTTGTTTGTTTATATTTCGTTTGTTTATATTTTGCTTGTTTATATTTGTTTGTTTATATTTTATTTTATATTTCGTTTGTTTATATTTTATTTTATTTATAATATTTTATATTCTCTATATCAATATAAATCAAAACCAAA